GCCCTGTGATGGATATGACTAGCGAAACAGGCGCGCACACACACACGCACACATATGCTTCCAACACTGCGCTATGTGATGGATATGACTGGTGAAAGCTCTGAACACTGCTTCCTGAGTCCTTCACTTCCTTCCTCGCAGGCCTCGGTCAGCCAAGCTGAGCCAGGTTTCACTAGACTAGGGCTGGATTGAGTTGCAGATTAACAGGCTTCCTGTCCAGTCCGTTGGCTGCGTTCATCTGCTTTCCTACAGGTCACTTTTATTGATGACCGAGCAGTGACGTTATTGAGGATGAATGGGTCTCTTCAGGATGGATGAAATGCTGGAGACTGGCCAGGAGTGTGGAGAAAACAGTGTTACCAGCATCAACACTTACACTTTTCCTTTTATCAGCTATTCTCCCTTATCATGAGGATTTACAGAGTACAAACTGGGTTACATTTAGGTCATCGGTAAAATAAAGGCTAAATGTTTTGCAGTTCATTGCAACAGGATTTTTCACTTCTTAAAAATGTCTTAAAGGTGCTGAAAAAATGATAAAATGTAACTTAATGGTCTTAATGACAGATGACCTACTAAAATAGAGCCTTTTCCAAAGGATATTTTACCTGCTGTGGATATAGTACAATATATACAATATAATATTGTTGTACCACAGGTGGCTCTATTAATCTTTAGATTTGAAAATGGAAGAAAAAAAGAGGAAAAAATTATTTGTTATAACAACATTGCTCAAAAAGAATTTTTTTCATGCTTTCTATTAAATAAACTGATATATCTAGAAACCAAGTCCATTGCCATTCCCTCCACCATCTCATCACTCCAAGCCTCCAGCACCACCCACCCCACACCTCTCATCCTCTCTCCTTCCCTCTCCCTCTCTCCTGCTGGCAGCCGTTGATTACTCTCGTCTCCTGGGGGAAGGCTTAAACTCCTCAGAGATAGTAATATCGAGGGCACTACTGGCTAGTCACTTCAGATCAGGGCGGGGGGAGGAAATGGCGACGGACATAAAGCTAAATATATAATTCCTCCCATGCCGGTAATCACGATGTCCAGACGATTTGAAATGACAGTTTAACCACTTTAGACTGAGGCACGCTTTGTTCAGATTTGAGAACCGGGAGGTGTGTGCGCGCGCAAGTATGTGTGTGCTGGAACGTCTGGTTGGTCCCTGTGATGGTTGGGGAGCCTCTTCGCGGGTGTAGTAGCTATCCAAAGAGGCCCCGTGTGGTCCTCTCTAAACGCACCGAGGGGGTGGGGCGGCGGCCGCTCCATTGAGTTAAAATGGCTCGCAGACCAGACAGGAGCAATTCTGTGAATGACTGACGTGCCAACAGCTCCGGAAGGAAACACTCTCACTACCCAGTATTGGTTTACGTGATTATTAGGATATCCAGCTTCCTCCTAAAATGGTCGATCATTTCCCTGTTAGAGGCAGCAAGAGCGCCCACCTGGATTAAGCCTGAACGTGGTCCACATGCCACCAGGCGCAACCAGACCTCACGCCACGCAGCCCACCAATTACACACATAAATATTAATAGGCTAATCTGCGCGGATTCTTTTCCTCAGAGCCTGTTAGTACATCCCTGAAAGGGTCAGAGACACTCTAATTCATTTAAATTTTAAGTTCAATTTGCATATGCAGAGATTTTTTTTCCTTCCAAACAGGCTCTCGTTTCCCCCATCATCACATCGCAAGAGGAGCCTGCATTTTGTATTCATACACTGATTGGATCCTTGATGAGATCTTCAGGGTGGCTTCTCACACTCTGGTGCTCTTCACACTCCAGAGGAGATGAGAAGAGGGAGAGGGGAGAAGGAGGAGATGAGAGGTGTGTATGTGGGATCAATCCAATTCTGACTACGTTGAAGTGGTCCGCTCCGTCATCGCCCAACTCCACGTCCTCCTCGTCGGTTTCAGCTGCAGCAGGAGCGCCGCGGCTCGGGCTATAATCAGAGGCGGCACAGAAGGAAGAGAGCAGGCAGAGAGCCTCCATATAATATAGACTCCTGCTCCTTTTTCGAGACATACACGGGCTACACAACATAACAGAATTCATATTACGCTATTGTCACCAGATTCCCTCAACGTGTATGAATAATGCAGGAGACAAATCTGCATGAAAGGTGAGAGAGAAAGAGCACGAGTGTGAGTGCAGGCGAGTCCACACCCAAGCATTTCACATGCACTTTTCAGTCACGCACGCTGGCTTAGTTTTACTTGCACTATATGTCCATGCCCAAATGCATTTTAATGCTTCAGGTCCCTTTTCCTGTGATTAAATTAATTGTGTGTTTGGGCAACGAGTTCTGCCAAATGCGGTTGACCTAAAGCTCTGGGCCTGAACACTTCCTGTGCAGACAGAGAGAGGACGGAAGCTGCTGTTCTCGTGCTACGACACCAGAATATATATGTTTTTAAAAACAACCTGAAAGTTTCCCTCCCTGCTAATAAACACTTTGAGCACTAAAATGCACTTTTAGTTAATTTACCGTACAGCGTTTTTTCTTTAGCCTCTCTAGGTCTGATGGTACCTGTTCTTCAGGGGTGCTACTATCACACCTAATTGAGTGTCATAGAAAATAACAGCCAGGAATATTTGATAAATAGGCTGAACTTACTAAACCTCGTAAACACTTCACATGTATAAGCCAATGCTGAAGTCTTCACAGCAGCAAGGGTCTACACTTGGCAGCCATTTTGAAATGCTTTTGGGCACTTACCTAGGTAGTTAATTTGAAGCACTCTTAATAAACATTGATTTCATTGGTCACATAGATGCTTTATGTTCAGTCAAATATCACAAAGATGCTCAAAAACATTGAGCATTTTGAGACTCTAGTTTTTTCCCTCTTGCTAGTTAAACTTATATCAGTATTTCTGTTGAAATTCTGTCAGAGTTCAGGTTTTTTTTTTTTTATGTCGTCACTCAATCTTATATACTGTATGTGTAAATACATGAAACTGTTAGTTAGACACAGTGAATAACTAATACAGAAGCTAACTAACATTAAAAAAAAGTTGCGATTATGCTAAAAGTATAGCTAGCAGCTAAACTTTTAGCTAACAATATATTAAAAATAATTCAGTAAATATAGTGAATACCTGCTGAAATACATAGACACTGGCTAAGATTATATCTAATTTTTTTTAAAAGCAATTTAAATAGCAGAAAAAAAAGAAACATCATTAAAATTGTTAGCCTGCAGTACAAACCTTTCAACCTTTCACAACTTTCATTCTTTACAGAGGAATTCATGAAAGCTAGTTTCCACCGCTGAAAAAAAGATAATTTTGCCATCTGTAAGTCAAAAACTCAACTTACATACCAACTAAAACTTAGATTGAAATAATACATCAAAAATTAAACTTTGCGTGGCAAAGGTTTGCTTGTTTCTTTTTTTAATATAGAAACAATGCTTCCATTGGTTAAAGCAGTAAGCTAATACTTGTGGACAGCAGAGACGTTTAACAAACAGCACTCGAGAGACTTACAGTAGTATAGATCCAATTATCAGTTTGAATATGAGCAGCCTGGTTTTAGTCCATCAACAGGGCTGTTAGGGTGCAACAGTTGCAAATAGCTTAGCACCTACAGGCTAACTGTATGTTAGCAAACTTCACATTTTGTACTTATATCAGTCATAAAGGTTGTTCATGGATTTTAACTCCTCTGCTGTAGAAATTATTCTTATTTCATTTGGTTTTGGTCCTTGTTCTTGAAAACCTGGTTTTAATAGTCAACACTTTTAAAAAACTTTTTATTTCAGTAAAATGACATTTTTATAAAGGGCGTTGTGAGTAAAAGCAGTGATTTTTGGGTGTGTGTCTGGTTATCTTTTCCTCTGCACACCAGCCTGGGATAAAAGCCTCGGCTATCAAATCAAACGTTTACTGAACTAATTTAGACTTGTATATTTTTGTGAGGGATCGCCAAAGGACACACCAAAGACACAAAGACAAACCTCCGCCGCTCTCGCTCGCACACGAGTGCAGTCTCAAGCACATGCACGCACGTCAAAAGGCGGTGCTAGTAGTAGTAGTAAACATTTGAAACGAACAGGGGTAATTCACTTGATAAATGTCAACCAAAATGAAGCTATCAGCTGAAAGCAATTTCCTTGTGCTTGCCTGTGTTCTGCGCCAGGAACTTGGGAGATTTTCACCCCTCCATCGATCATGAAGCCTCTGTTTTAGGCCAAGGTACACAATGCCCTCAAATTGCTGACATATGGACCTAGAATCACCACAAAAACCTGCCATTTCCACCCCACCCCTCCTCTGTCCCAACCCAGCCACTCCTCTGCTAAACTCTTGTTTATCCAGTGACTCTGGACTGTTTAGGCCATTAAAGAAAAGCCATTGAAGGAGACGGAGCAAATATAATAACATAAAAAAGTCACAACCTCTAACCAGAAACACAGCGTGGCTACCAAATACCAAAGAGAAATGTGGTTTGTTACGGTTTCTCAATTCATTTTTAATAAGTCTGAAGGCACTCTGATTAAAATGTAACTAGCTGATGCAAAATTGGAGCTCTGTGGTCTCCAATCAACTGTGTAGCTGTAGGACCAAGTGTGTGGGCAAACTTAAAATAAAACCTGTCTGACTTGTGGGCCGCCTGTGACCAGTAGCGGAAGAAGCAAAACAAATCACGATAAAGACGATGACACCGACCACATAATGGCTGTAAACAGCACATACATGAAAGCAGGGTTTGTGTGTGTGAGTGAGTGTCGCTGGGTTTCTCATTCAAACATATGTTGATTTCAACAGCTATTGCGCTACAGTTCCTGAGTGCAGCTATTTCAAGGCAAAGGCCAAGTGCACAACATTAAAAGCCTTCCCCTAATGGACAATTGTGGTGCCAGGGCCTAGGGGTCTGTGCGCAGGAAAAGTCCATTATCACTCCAACTAATGGAGGAGGGAGCGACTTCAAACATAAAGTGGAGAAAATGAAAAGAAAACAAGAGAGAACAAGATGACGCACATGGTACAAAGCAGCGTTTCTTTAATGGACTCCATCAATAACGTTACGTTCCCAACTTTATTGTGTTTAAAAAAGAGAGTAGCCATATTATCAATCCTCAACATGGACAGAAATTAAAGCCCCCTTTTTTCCCCCCCTCAAGTGCATTTTTAACAGACTTGGAATCAATGTGAAACAAATGTTTGGCAGCATCTTAATGGCATCTGTTCGGTCGACTCCTACGTCTCTGGAACAAACTCGCTCTCGCTCTTGCCACCAAGACAAACCCGCAGCCAGTTTACATTGAGACGGGTGCGCTTGCTTTTATATAAACAGACAGGCCCTGTGGCAAAGGGTTTGATTAGGAGGAGGCCCACAAATCCCATTAAAAGTCCATTCGTTGCTTTCTCGCTGTTTGTTTGAAGACAGGAAGAGTAACAAGAGAGGAGGGAGGTGACGGGTAGTCTGTTGTCGTTTTTGTACCAGTTTTTGTTTATGCAGATATCACGACGCACAAAAAAAAAAAGAAAAAAAAAGAAAAAGAAGAAGGTGGTCTTACCCAGTGATGTGGGCAGGAACAAGAGCCCAAGATGTGGTTTGAACAAAAACTACCTCCCCAACATGATCCAGTCACTGTCTATTAACAAGATGAAAAAAAAAAGAAGGATATGTTGCTGCTTTTCAGTGTGTCCTCTGTTTCACAGTGACACAAATAACAAGTTCCACAGTCAGCCTAACAGCTCCTTGGTCTTGGCTGCAAGCTGCTTGTCGATGTCTGCTGCAATGTTGTCTGCCATCTGCTGAATCTGTGTAGGCAGAGAGAGGGGAGGAAAAAAACAAAAGTAATGAAAGTTAACGCTTCAGAGAGCAGAGGTCTAATAAGAGGTGGCGTGAAACAGCTCCAGAAAAGGATGAGGGTGAGCGGAGGTGAGCTCCATTTGGGTGGAGGCTAGTTTCTCATTTTGAATGTAGTTTTGAAATAAAGAAAATACGATCAATAGTTAACTTATCAGTGAAGTGGACTCACTACACTTTTCCTTATTTTCTGTAATATGTGCTCTTATGACAGTGCATGCTGATCAAGCTCAAAGAGAGCTGACATCCTATGGTCGTCTCACCAGCTCCTGCTGGTCAAACCTGTTTGCAAGGGGCAGCCAATCAGGCAAATGTTTCTTAAAGTGGGAGGAGCTAAAACTGCTTGAATTGGATAGAAGATGAACTGAGAGGCTTCACCATGTCCCCGTATAAAATAAAACTTTTTGTAACTTTGCGATGATAAAGTTATCATTTGTCATCAGCTGTATCCTTTCACAGTGTTCATGTTTTGATTGCAACAGCTGGTAAACTCTAACTAGGCACTTCAGTTTGGTGGGTGGGTGGGGGGGTTGGAGGGAAAACCTCGGAGCAACACATTTCTGATGAGTTTTTCAAATATATTTTCTTAGAGTTTTGTGCAGCACAACGAAAGTGACTTCTGGTCGTGCTGCATTCAGGGAAACATATCTGAGAGAGGAAAAACTATTTGATCTTTTCCTCACCTCAAGCTATACTTTTTTTTTTTTTTTTAAATCACAGGGAATCCCTCGTCTCCTACCTGTTTTTCTACGAGTCGTATTGTGTCTTCTGAGTGTGCTTCCTTTGCTTTTTTGACCTGTGTGACAGCATTAGAGCGCACTCTCCTCAGTGAGTCTTTAGCCTTGTTGCCGAGCTGTTTGGCTACCTTGGCCAGGTTCTCCCTGTGCTCCCGAGTCACTCTGCAGGGAAACGGGAAAAATGTCAGAAATGAGAGGCAAAACAAAAAAACGAGAGTACAAAAAAATATATAATTCAAAGTTACAGGGAAAAAAAAGGGAGATGGTCTAAATACTGAAATGAGACTTCTTGCTGCATGCCAGCAGCTTTGACATCACTTTTGGCGTATGCTGCCATCTGCAAGCACAAACCGCCTGTTATGCATCTGTATTTACCATGTTTATTTAAGACGAGATGAAGTCTAATACCAGCTCGGTTTGACCGCATTTAAGCACGAGCTAGGAAGTAATTACTGTGTTTTGTAGAGTAAGGTAAGAAGGTTTTATTAAAAATTTCCTGGAAACGACAACATTTCAGTAAGAGACACTAACAAGCAGTCACAACTTTGTGTGGCACGAGCAAATACACTCTGAAAAACAAAATAATGAAAACTAAGGTCCTCACTTGTGCAGATGGGGACGCTAAGTGCTTATAAGCATGACGTCTGATCCTCTTAGCTCTGACTTGCAGCAACCACCAAACAATCTTCCTCAGACCTTAGAGCAGAGCCGAAACATCCGTCATCCTAACAACTTTGCATTCGCTCTGCATTTGTTAATCACTTAGAAAGTCCTACTTCCCATTTCACTCTCCCTCTTTGTCCTTAATTGGCTTTTTTTCCCCTTGTTTTTTGCCTCAGGGACTATTTGCAAACAATCCAAGTGCGCCGTCTATTTACTGCAAACAATACGGCCTAATTACCGATTCCAGGGCCAATCAAGAAGCGCCTTCTCTTTGGAAATGCAAATGTAGGCTTGGAGCGTGCCGAGACTGATTGCAGGGGGAAAAGCAGTCTGACTCTCGTGTCCCTCCTCTGCCAGAATAACACCTGCTGCTCCATGCGCACACACACACTCATGATAATGCATGCACATAACCACAAGACAGCATTCATGCACTGAGACGCACGTGCACGTGTGTATATGTAAAAAAACATACTTTATATACACAGGCAGAGCGGTTTAGTGAGTGAGTGACTGATTGTTTTGTGTCGGGTTGTTTGATTTGGCCGGGGGAAAGAGAAAGAGAGTGGCCCAACCCTCACGTCGTCACACCGGGGGTCTCTATACATCTACAGGCAAAAGTCAATAAACCTGTCAGTTTAGAGCACGGAGACGAGTGGAGGAGAAAAACAGAGGAATACCAAAAGAAAAATAAAGGTGAACGAGAAAAAAAAGAAGTGAAAGACAGAAAGTGCTAAAGGGAGCAAAAATGTTTTCTGGCCTCCGGCGTGTTTGTCTGCGAGTGCGTCAAAGAGAGACTCACTTGGGAACGGGCACCTTGATGATCGTCCCGTCCACCTCTGGGTTTAAGTTCATGCTGCTCTCTCTGAGGGCACGGGTGGCCGCTGCTGTAGCCTGGGGGCACATGCACACAGACACACACACACACTGGAGTGAATAAAAAGCAAATCTACAAGTGCAGGTAGTGGCTTAGCTCCAGCTGGCAATCATTAAGGTGTTGTGTGTGGTGTGTATATGGTGTGTGTGTGTGTGTGTCAGGGAAATCCCATGTAGTGTGGAATTGCCTCGGGCCACTGTCAACACTCGGCCCCGTGGGACAGGACTGAGAGGTTGCAGGGCAGGGTGGTGACTCCTGGTGACCCCACAGGAGAGTCTGCTTGTGGATGATACATCAACACACACACAAACTTTTTGAGTTTGTGCTCAGTTGTACTTGAAGGTTTTCTGGTAGAATCATTACCACATTATTGTTATTATTATTATTATTATTAATAAAAGTTATTTATACTTTGTTCGCCTGTGAATATGGGGGGTGTATTTATGCATTGTTGTTTTATTACAATGACAAACATGTATATATTTATTCACCTTAACAAACAGTAAATGCAAACATGTTTTACATATGTACATGACACAGGCAGGAGCTATAAGATTATGAGTTACAGATGTGAAAGACTCATGAAGCATGAACTACACAAGTTATATTGAAGTATATGTAGAATGATTACTGTGTATAATTTTTTTCCCCCTCTTCGGATACACAAAACAAACACTCCTCCCTTAACACTTGTTATCCTGTTGCCCTTTACGAATCCTTACCAAGAAAATAGGAAGTGCTCAACTCTGCTCAGATCAGCAGGATGCTGTGTTTGTTGCAGGGCGCCCTCTGGTGGACAAACTATGCAACATGAACACTCACAGCATGGTTGAAGGGTGTTTCTCTCATTTTTACTTTTATGAATGCAGATACTGATATCAGCCTGCAGCTATATCAGTCACAGTCTAGAAGTAAGACCCCACCAATGGATCGTTTTTTTTTATAATAATACAACATCCAACTACTGGTAGCTGCATCTCTATGGTAACTGTTGAATCCTTAAACAACAGCTTGGGATCTGTCTTGAATTTATCAAGATTTATTAATTTCCCCCCAGACTGGAGCTGTCATCATTATAATGAATTAAGATTGGGGGAGATTAAAAGGAGAGCGCTGCGTGGACACTGGTTGAAGAGGCAGCAGTGCTGCATAGAGATAGAACAACAGGATCAGAGAAACTACTGGACCACAAACACACAACAACAACAGTTACGCGAGAAGCTGGATTTTGGTCTTTTTCCCACAACTAAGAAATACACTTCAAACTCAAAATGACATATTAAGACATGTTTACATGTGTAAAACTGAGACATTATCTACCAAGTGAAGCTTAAGTTAAGCAATGACTGCATAGGACCATAAAGCTACAGTTAAAAGAGTGCATAGACACAATGGAGAGGAACAAAGCCACACTCCTCAAGCTAGCGCAACAGCCTCATAACTCAGTTTGCAAAGCGAGCAAATGTGCAATGCATGTGGAGAAAAGAAAAAGAAAAAAGATTTCCTCCTCTTACTTCAACCGTCACTAACCCATCCTGCTTTCTCAACAGCTCCTTCTGGCCTCATCCACTGGGGGAAAGAAATGGCAGCAACATTAAAGGAATTTATTTGTGTGCATTAAATTAATTCAAGGGGTTTCTTTTCTTTTGTTAAAGTCATTCAGGAAACAGGCCTCCAGTTGCACTCTTTGAGCGAGGGGTGATAGATTCATCCCATACCTATGTTTGATTGTTCTCAGCATCAAATTCATCACCATTTCCCCTCTCTGACGACCACTCCGGTGGTTACTAAAACCCGAGTGGAATTTCTCTGTGAAGGCTGGGCAGGTTCTGGTTAATATGTTGGAAAGGAAGAGAAATTACACTGAAGTTTCACATCAAACGCTCACGACTTGGTTCAAAGCAAGTAGGCGAAGGGAGAGGAATGTGTGTGTGGGTCTAAAAAAAATGTAATGCTTAAACATGGACACACACACACACACACACCAAATTGCCTCCGGATCCGAGCGTAGTGGTTAGATGTTGTTCTCTGTATCGTCCCAGCCTGCTCTTAATGAATGAATGGAAAACAATGGCAGGGCCTCTGTAGTTCCTGGTAATGGATAGGCATCATTATAAGCCTGTTAGCTCTGAGTACTGACGACTCACCTCTGTGTGGTACATGGGTAACACGGGACATGACAGGGTAGCGTGCGTGTGGATGAGTGTGTCCGTCAGTGTGTGTGTGGTCTGTGGTTTCTAGAGTTTCTGGGAAGGAGAAAAAAAGAGACTCCGGATTCAGGTGGAAAACTGACTTCACAGATTTGAGGTGTTGATAAATACTTGGATTTGCATGTTGTTTGTATGCTGTGGTTTCACCTGGAGAACAAATGAGGGAAACCACAGCCCTCAGGTGACTGGCTGTGGAAATAGAAGGTGCAGGAAGATATTTAAAAACAGCTTTTTGTTTGGCAAGCTGTACTGGAAAAAAAAAGAAAAGGAAAAGAAAAGCTCTTGGATGTCGTGTGCAAAGACGCTTCTTTTAACTTTTTTTACTGAGACAGATTTTTATCGTTTGCCTTCACTGCCTCTTCTACCCATTTTATATATAGAAGAAAAGATGCAGGCTGTATCTGCTGTCATCATAGCCAGTGTACAGTCACTTTACTTAGGACCTGCTAATGCCCCCAATTAAGGAATCTCTGTTTTACAGAGATGAGAGCAATGAATTATTCTGCCACAGTCACATTAACCTCCTAGGACCTGGCGTCCACATATGTGGACATCACATTTTGGGTTATTTAGACCAAAATCCTCAATTTTGCTCTACAAGGGCCTGATATCCACTTACGAGGACATTATATTGCTACTGTTCTATTGAAATTTTAAACGAATATCCTCATGTGTGGCTCTTATTTTTCTTAGAAACAATAATTAGGTTAAAAAAAGCCTGGTAATTCTTTGTTTTTACATTCATCAGGTCCCAATCAGCCCAAATATCAAAGAGAAATTACAAATGCATGCCGTGGAAGAGTTCGGATCTTAGGAGGTTAATGTTCAGCAACATTTCTGTAGCCAACATAGCACAACAGCAAGCTGTGCAGTTTGTCCACACACTACATAACCAAACACTTTTAACAAGACACTGCATATAAAATATTTTTGGTGTTTTTGGGGCCGCAAGTGACCATATTTGAAAAGGTAGAGTGCTAATTTATAAGCTAATTATTATTAAAGCCTGATTATTACCCATTGTGGTTCAATCACACTTATTTACAGAGTAAAAATAGTATGGCGGCCACTTCCAAACCTCCTAGGAAAACAATTAATGGTTGCCCGGTGATTGCAATGAGGTTTTTGCTGCTGCTGGAGACTGACTCCTAGTAGTTGGGGTGACCAACTGGTTACCCATGTTTTGAGGGTGTTGCTCATCCACCTGAGCAAGGACTGAGAGATTTATTAAGGTTTGCAAATAACTGCAGACTGGTCTGAGTCAGTCTGCAGCGGTGAGTGCAACTTGTCTGCCACAGGAAACTCGACTCAATATATTCTGGTTATATTCCTACATAGAAGCAAGGTTGCTGAGTGTCTTGTTGCAGTTAAATTGCTGTTCTAAAGCAAACGTGGCACGATCTGTGGAGGGATTTCTGAATGAGTATTATGCTGGTGAGGTTGAATCTGAATGTAAATGCTAATATGAATTTCTATGTATACAGACAGCAACAAAATCTTCTACAAACAACAACAGATTTGTGATTTTCACTGATTGATCCCAATCCCTGTGTTATCAAACACAGATTACACATGATTGTCGACTGGCCCTGTTCAATCGGAGACTGACAGCAGACTGACTCCATCACTTGACTGTCCTCCGCTTTGAAGACAACTTACTGCGAGTCGTCGGAGGCCTGGCCCCCGTCTTCACAGGAAACATGACTGTGAGTTCATTGCTGTGACAGCGTACTACGGCTTCCCCCTTCGTGTGACTGTAGCATGAAAAAGCTGTGTAAAGTTGAGTGACTCACACTCTACTCGTCATCATTCAGCCCTGTTTAAATGAACACTCCGTCTGAGAATCTTCGGATTAGTCACACCTGTCTTTACTACTACTAATCTGTGTCAACACAGCTTCTGTGAAACACTGACAAGGACCGTTTTACGGCATTATAAGTGCTTTTACGTTTCATTCATAATGTCATTTAAGTATTTTTTTGCCAATATAGTTGCATAACTGTTGTTGGCACATTTTTTGCATTAATTGTGGCTAAATGATAAAAGTTTAACCATTCTTAACTTATCCTCCACGGTCATTTCTCAGCTTAAAGTACACTTTCTGTTATAAGCAGCATCCATTAGTTCTGTCTCAACTCCCCTCGACCACAAAAAGTACAAAACATGGAGGTAGGCTGCGTACAAACTCAAGTTATGTCACAGCGACGCAACGAAGGCAGTCCAAATATGCAATTGGAAGAATGCGTCAGGTGGATCCTTCGCAGTCCACCCAGATTCACTGCACATTGGTTAATGTAGAGTATTTTTGGAGAAAAGAAAATGACGGTGCAAGTGAACAGTACAGGAATACAGTTTTAAAAGTATGTGCTGGGTTTTATCTCAGTCAAACATCCAACAGTTCAAAACGTTAAAATAACAAAGAATGTTAAAATGTTCAATTCTGACAACGTTTCAGCCAACTTATGTGACATGCAGCTCAGGTCCTGCATGCTTTTAAAGCCTTTACATTAAAACCAAAGAAGTATGTAGCTTCTGTGTGATGCTTGTGGTCACAGACAGACACCCAGTCCTAAAGAAGTCTATGGGAAAATGACCTTTAACCCTGACCTCTATAAACACTTTCCTGCTGAGATTATTCACTCAAGCAACCATTTCAGGTGATATTTTAGTCATTCTAAGTAAGAAGGATTACCCAGGATATGCTCATTTACTAACCTCTGATTGACAAGTCATTAGCGATGAGCACTAGACCTGCGAGTCTTAACACCAATACTTGTGTCCTTCACACAAACAAAGTCAAGGAAAATTCCTAACAACAAAACAAATACAGTCTATTACAGATAACTGTAAAACTAGAAAACCAGCAGCACCATGACAGGATGTTAACACTTTTGGAGGGAGAAAAAAAAACAACCACCTGAAAGATGAAGATTGTTTAGAGGGGTCTTGTTTAGAGACACGGTGGAAGGGAAATGCTTGAGGGAGCAGCTCAGGAATACTGGAGCTCAACGAGTAGAAGGAATCTCTCTGGGAGGCTCAATGTAAACCTTAAAAAGAGAAAAAAAAAGGAGACTTGGATGCCAAACTGTAGCACTCTGGAGAGTCTGACAAAGGAGATGGCAGAGAGAGAGAAAAACTGGAGAAGGAGATGAAGGCTGTGGAGGAACAAAATAAACTGTAGGAAGAAAGAAAGTGCTGGATGAGGAAAAGGAAAAAGTTAAGGTGGCAATCAAAAAACTGAAAGAGGAGGGAAAAAAACAACTGAAGAAGGTAAAGAAAGACGTGACAGAAGCAAATAGGAAATATGACAAGAGAGAAAGAAAGATGAAAAGACCGAAGCTGAAAGGGGCCAAGAAAAGACTTAATGAAAAGCACAGGGAACCGTGGGAAGACAAGAAAGAATTGGAGGAAGTGCAAAAGGCAGTGCAAGAGTGGCTGAGAGAAGCAGAAAAAGAAAAATAAACTTGGTGAGGAAAAACAAGTTGTGGAGGACACAAAACAAGTATTAAAAGGAAGTGCAGAAGGAAACCGAGGGCAAAAAAGTGAACTGGATACAGTCAAACAAGAAATGGAAGATACAAGAAAAAAAGGATAGGCAGTGATGGAAAGAAAGTGGAGGAGGTGAGGAAGAACCTGATGGAGACCAATATGGAGACTGAAGATTGGACCAGATGTGAGGAAAGACAGAAAAGGATGAGAGGAAACAGCTGAAACACAAAAAATGCAGATAGGACGGTGGAGTAAACTCCTCTTCCTTGCCACTTTCTCTTCATTGCCTCCAAGCTCCCTCCGTCTCCTTCATCCTCATTGTCTCCCTCCATCAGCCTTCTACTTTACTGCCTCTTCCTCTCAGGTATGCACAGCGGTCCAGTGACTAACATTATGTTACATGTAGTTTTCCAGGTAAACTCCATCCCAGTAGAAAACAGTAGAATTATAAACCAGTATAAATAATAATTTTTTTTAAAAATGAATCAAAAGAAAATAAATGCATTTTTATTAAAAATCATTGAAAGTTCATGCGTGTGTCTGTGTCTCTTAATAAACAGAATACAGCAATTAGACCTCAGCATGGCTGCTGGTTGCTGGGAAAACACTGGTGGTTATGATTCAAGAAGGACTAAAGCGGATTGTTTGTACGAGTTTCTGTTGTTCCCAACCTTCCACTATGAAAAAGACCAACTTATGACATTGTCTGATGATGTCACTGTGATGACTTAACTGAGAAAAAAAGAGACTGTCGGGAAGTTTAGTTTTACGATCTTAGACATAACTCCTGAGAATTGAGTCATTCTTTTTTCATAAGTGCCCGAATTTCAGAGCGGTGTTTTCCGCAGGTTGATAATATGGTGGCTGTGGGTGGCGTGGGCAGAGTTTCTCTAAACACCTCATAGGCATTCAGAGTGACTGAAATGGGCCTTTAGAACAAACTATTACCAGAATCAGCCCATCCTTACTTTTCACTCCACCTCTCTCAGGTCTGTTTGAGAGTTCAGACCTGGTATAAGGGCTTAAACTCAGACTAAGAGTTTAAATTTAGTTTAAGAATCACCCTCAAATAAAGCAAACTGTTTAAAGAAGTGAAATCATTTATTTCCTGTTGTGTGCTTCCAGATTATACCAACACTGCTGGGCTTGGTTTTTTTTAGTTTTCCCTCCACATAAATGACATTTTGGCATCCATCCAAAGGGGTTTAAACCAGAGCCAAATGGAAAACAAATACATGTTAATTTGGGTTTATTTACACAGGCAAAATAGTCAATTTTATTAATGAAATAGTCCTAAACAGTAAGAAATTGCACACATTTCTGTGTCTCTGTAGTGAAACCGGTGACCGTGCTTTATTGCTGTGCACAGCCAATCCCCCAAAGGCCCATAATGAGCCAGGAAAACCCTGGTTATGCATATTTCCGTACTGTATCCTGTCTGCTGCACTTTTCCTCATTCATACATATGTGGAGATATTTTCATTTGCAACATTTTCAGATCATTTTTTTCTTGTTTGTCATTTGCAAGAATAAAGGACTGTGCACATATTTCCATATTTAATGAGATCAAAGAAAATGTAGCAGACAGCAGAAAAAGTTGAGCATATCGGTCATTAGCATCTCTGGATATATGACTGTATAGTGACACATGCAAGCACATTCAGCTTTTCCAGACCACCAGAAAGTCTGGCCACCAAAAAACGTGAAAATCTACAAAGCAAAGGAGGCAGCGAAAAGAAGCAAAAAAAGAAAAATAATCCATTCCTTCCTAACCTGGGGGTAAAATGAGGTCATTTCCTATTCTGTGACAACTCACACTAAGACATATCCGCGCTGCAGTACACACATACAGACTTTTGTTGCTATCTTTCACCCCAGAACAAAGGGCTCCCTGAGTGATCAATCAATTAGCATCTGAGACACAGCATAGTGAGAGAGAGAGGTAGGTCGGGTTTCATTTACAGAGTGATGTGAGATTCCAGTTCTGGTCTGGCTTACTTTTCCTTCTGTGAGGAGGACCATCTATCTGTCTGTGCGTCTGATTATTTTTACAAAGCTTAGTTACTGCGCGCTTGTCCATATGAGACAAACTGATACCGGTAGGAAGAAATCATAGCTGTGTGTGCTCTGTTTGACTGTGTGTGTGTGTGTGTGTGTGTGTGTGTGTGTGTGTGTGTGTGTGTGTGTGTGTGTGTGCGTGTGTGTGTGTGTGTGAATCTAGTTCAGCCATCTTAATCCAGCACCCAGACTCTTGGCTCCTTGGTTCATCAAAGTGAGAGGCCAGCGCAGATTAAATCTTTGTATGTTTGTTTCTCCCTCTCTCTCTTTTTCCCTGTGTAAGTGTGAGAGTGAGCAAGTCGTTATGCGTCATAGCCCTTTAGTACGCCCAAGGGCTTTAATGGTATGATAGCAGAGCCGAGCCTACGCTTGCATCATTCCTATCTTTTGGTCTACAGTGAACCGAGAGAGCACCGTTGTTGCATTCATTCTGTACGGGCTGCGTGATGGAGCGGATTGCTGTCAGCTGCAGATAAACTGACACAGGTCTGAGTTTGCACCTCTCAGCGGGAGCGAA